GCTGTTCCTAGAACTGCCTTTATTGGTCATTGAACTTCAAAGTCTCTTTACATTATAAACAGAATACTCAAGAAATTTATCAAAGGATCTGTTATTTGTTTCTTCGTCACTTTTCAACGGTGTTAATTGGAAAGTGATTGTTTTTTTTTTTGCTGTTGTTGTCCACTAAAAATCAAAAATAGCAGTATAACATCGATGATTACAAATAAACAACTGAAAAAGTACCAAAACAACAATGAAAAAAGATATTATTCTCTCTTTATTTTTTATTTTATTTTATTTTTTTCGAGCTTAGTGGACTTAATTCTGCTCTGCCAGTTAACAAATGAATAGATTGGTATATGGATCAGTGTTTATTCGACAATGGTTTTTTTTTTTTGCTACTGCTATTTTGTTGTTTGATGTTTTACATCTGAGAACAACGAGTAGACCACGTGATATATATAAATATATATTTATGTACTTCTATATATATATTACAATAGCCTTTCAATTAGATTCACCTGAAATTTATTCACTGAAAAGGGCAACAAAATGTTTTGATAGTCTACAAAAATTTTTTTGACACATCAAAACAGTTCAGAATTGGTTAATATAAAGTTTTTATTGCCATTTTTTTTCATCTTCTTTATTCTCTTTTTTCCTGTGGAAATGATAGATGCAATCTTTGGCACTGCTAAAAATGAAACAAAAAAGTTTTCCTTTTTTTTTTCCTTCTGTTGCTTTTCATGTGAAGGCATTGACGAAGAAGACAGATGAGCAGAAGGAAAGTAAAAAAAAATACATAAAAACAAAATAAAAAAGCAGATAGTTGACGTTGGAAGACTAATAAAAGATGTCATCGAAGTTGTCCGTTTGATTATGCATCACTTTCGATCATCAGTATTTCCACTGAGTTTATGGTTTTGTTGTTGTTGAAGTGCTTGGCTTCATTAATACGATAGATAGATGGAATTCATAAACATCAACAAAAATCTATCAGATGTCCCTTTTGCCATATCAGAACATTTGATACACTATAATGTTGACTTCATTTTTGCTTGTTTCTGCTTCCTTTTTTTCTGATAATCCTTAACCTCTAAAATTGATATGTACACAGATGAAAGCACAGCATCGGCAGCAATAGCAGAAGCAACAACAACTGCAACAGCATTGAATTAATGCATTTTTTTTTTCTAAAGCCCAACTGTTAGCCAAACGATCGGCTTGTTTGTTGATTTTGTGGAATCGGACGCCAAAGTGAATCCAGGAAATAATTTCACTATGGTAAACACAGTGATGATGACAACGACGGAACGCTGCTAGTTTCTTCCTCATCAAAATTTATTTCTTCATTTACCATTACAATTATCATCATCCAACAGCATCTGTTTTTTTTTTCAGGTTCAAAAGTTTTTTTTTCCTGCTTCTGTTGAACCCTTCATAGATTGAAAGGAGCAGCAACAAAAAAAAAAAAGAAAAAAAAACTAATTTCCATTAACTTTTAATTACCATCAAAAAAAGAGGGGCAAAAAAGCCGGCAACAATTTTGTTTCTGATTTATATTGCCACAAATTACAACTTCCAACTTTTTTTTTTT